TGATGATGATGCTCTGATGATACAGCTGGTTAGGCTGAGTTTTACTCTTAATAAGTCCAACGCGTGTATTACGGAGGGTATGATATCCAGCTGTAGTACCCTTGGAGTACTTACCTACTTGAGAGGAACCATGATGGCCGCGGTTAGGGGGGCTGGGCTAACCCTTAGAAACTCTCATGAGTCGGTTATTGTGAGCATGACCTTTAACGCTCAACTCGCTTTGCTCAATAGATAAAGCGTATTATGTGTTTTCGTCAATACTTGATTCAAGGGGCCTAATTCAAGGCCTAGTCCATTATGTCCTTCAGGTGGCGATGAACTCACTAAGAAAAGGTTCAAAGCCGGAAGCTACCTTTTCCAAATTCACGATACGAAAGGTTGCCCAACCTATATTTGTTTTGTGTTTTATTGATTTACTTATTGATTTTGTGTTTTCAGTCAATATTGCCTTTGGGGGGGACTGTTGGATATTTTTTTAAAAAAGTCAAATTGACTTAATCTAATCCTCTTAAATCTCCAACTAACCCCATATTTCTCCTTAACCCTCTCCACTATCCGTTCTGTTTCTCTCCCTATATAAACTCTCTCAATCATCTCATAATTACATATTCATTTTCTCTACCTACTCTCTCTCCTCTCATCTCACGGTAAAGAAAGAAAACAGTGGAGTGAAAATTAAAAAAAAATAGAGAGATAATTCTCACGGGTTTTCTGCTACTATATACTTAAGTGTTATTATTATTTTGGGCAACCTTCTTCATCTGAGCAGAAGCTCTGTGCTCTCGCTCGAGTACGGAGGCCGGCCGTTTCCGGGGGCTTTTACCGCTAGGGGAAGAGGATCGACTGTGTCAGGGCGATAGACGAGTCCTCTATCTTCTAGGGCAGTGAATCACGACTGCACCCGTTCAGTTCTGGTGTTCTAACTCTTTTAATTTCAGATTTAATCTAATTTATTCTCTTTTTTGACAGCAGTTTTTGTATCTTCATGTATATCCACTCATATAATTGCATATGTATTTGTTTTTAGCATATATGAATATGAATTTTTCTTATCGAGGCATAGTCATACACATATCTGTATACATAATTAGCAAGAAAATACATATAGATAATCATTATATCCAAGTCGTATTCGAACTGTGTGCACTCCTAATGGCAACCAATTCTTTTCCCAGTTCATGTAAAGAACTAACCCCTTGAATAAGTTCACCACAGAGATTTAGTACACTCCAATTTGACAATAATTTTAAAGGGTTCAATTACTCATCATTACTATTTGTTCCAATTTCAAAGGATAAAGCTAGACTACATATGATTTCACTATTGAAATAGCAATTTCACAATAGAGATAAAATGATTTTTAAGATAATAGTGAAACTGCTACGTGGTCTTATCTCATTCGTTGATATTAGAGCGGATGACGAGGAATGTGATACTTAGATAATCTCCAATTATCAACTAATCTGAGAGGATCTAAGTCCTCATCGAAGATACAATTTTCCTATTATAATTTGTACATTGTTGTTAGGGTATACGTCAACAAGAACGGCTCGAACGGAGACACAATACACACCCAAATGATTTTGAAATCATAGAATAAAGACGCAAATTCAATCACAGTACTCACAGGTATATAGTGGTTCACTCTTCCGGAGCTACTCCATGGTGCAACGACAACGCTCAGTTCTTTTATATTCCAAAAGAATTAGATCAAAGAGAACACCCTCTCTTGATCAAGATACACTCTAAGAATTCTCACAAATCCTCTCCTTGATATTAGGAAAAACTCTCTGTTTTTCATTTCTCTTACTCTTCTATAAGAGGAGTTGTTTCTGAGATGATTTTTCCTAAAGAGTTTTGTCCCTATTTATAGTGTTTGAAAAACACTATGCACTAATAAAATATTATTAGTGGTGGGACCCATCACCTTTTTTTAAACTTTTCAGCCACCGATTTCGGTGAAATAATAAAAGGTCAGACCCGTCACCTTTTATTATTCAATTTTGACGGTTGTTGGCTAACAATCTCCCACTTGAAGATTTGATTGAGTATCAATCATATCTTCACACTATTTTTGGTTACATCATCTGGATGTCTTGTATCTTTGGCATCTTGTACGGCCCTCAACGTTCTCAACTGAGGCCATATGAGACTGCACACAGCCTCGCCTTCTCAAGCGAAACTGGCTTGGTTAGCATGTCAGCTGGATTGTGTATCATATCAATCTTCATAAGCTTGAACTCGTTCCTGCTTTGCCATCTCCGTATGGCATGGTGCTTCGTGTCAACATGTTTGGTCCGTGCGTCATTCTCTAACAAGTGAATGACACTCTGACTGTCGCAGTGGATGAAGTATTTCTCAAAGCTTACCCTAAGCTCGAGAAGAAAATCTTTCAACCATAGCAACTCCTTTGCTGCCTCTACTGTAGATACGTACTCCGCTTCGGTTGTCGATAAAGTCATAATATCCTGTAACTTGGATCTCCAATGTATCGCTTCACCACTCAAGATGAAGATGTAGCCGTTCGTGCTCCTTCTTGAGTCTATGTACCCGGCATAGACTGCATCACAAAATCCCTCTAGTTGTAAATCCACCCCACCATACTTGTAGGCGTCAAAAATTACCTATAGATTCCCAAACACAGCTCAATACGAAGAGAGGGCGAAAGACGTCATTGTCTAAGTCAGGGAATATCATCCGGGGTCTAGTTGATGCAAAAGGAAGCAAGGAAAACACAAAAAATAACAACTCAAAGAGACTATAGTTTCCGAGACAGTGTCAACTGTCTCGAAAATGCGAAACACTGCTGGTGTCTCGGAAATAGGGAGGCAATGTAACGTCCCTTTTGACATTTTTTTAGACTTTGTGTGACTCACGTGGATTCATAACAGATTAGGATCATCCATAAACATGGGGAGGCCGTTATAAACTAAAGAGAAACTCAAAATCCCCAGAAATCACGACATTTAACAGATTGAACATCGATTACAAAACTGCCTGGAACTAGGGCTGAGCATGGTTCGGTCCAAACCGAAAAAACCGACCGAACCGAACCGAACCGAACCAAATCGACCCGGAAAAATCGGTTTTATGAGTAGGGCGGTTCGGGTCGGTTTGAAAAGTTTTCAACCCGAACCGACCCGAACCGACCGAATATAGTGTAATACTACCCATTCTGATCTCAAACCCTACCCGACCCGTCCCCAAAGAGTCAAAAACTTAAACTCTAAACTCATTTTCTGAATCATTATGGGTTGAAAACAATATCATTATATCAGTGTTTAATGCTTCATAATCTCCTATTTTGTTGATATCTTTTTTTTCTTTAACACAGTTTGTTATTTGATAAGAAGTTTGATGAAGTTAGAACCGAACAAACCAAACCGAACCGCACCGAACCGACTTGCAACAGTTCGTTTCGGTTTTGAATTATAGGCGGTTCGGTTCGGTTGTTTAAATTTTGGTAAAAACCGAACCGAACCGACCGTTGCACACCCCTACCTGGAACGACCCCTTCTTCCGAGACAGTAGACACTGTCTCGAAAATAGGAGTTAACAAATAAAATTTGTTTCGACTTCTTATCTTCAGAAACGGTTCCCAGGGGCTATAAATACTTTCCTTACACCCTTGTGCACATGGGAGAGCTATTTGGCAACAGAGAATTGGCATTTTGGTGAACTGAGAGATAGAGTTCTTCACATCCTGAGAGCCTTCAGTATTTTCCTTGAGATCAAACCTTGTTTTATTCTTGAGAAGGGTGTTTTATCTCACATTGTTGAGATATCCACTTCTGTCCTTGTTTCTAAAACGAAACATTGACTCCAAGCCTTCTTCGGATCAATCTAGACCTGTGACTCGGTCGTCCACGGACTAACGCATCCCCGACACAGACAAAGATCATACACAAGCAGCGATCAAATAAAGATGGTTAAGGAAAGAGGAAAATAACGGAAGAGATGCCATGATGATGGAAAATTTTAATTGTTAGTCCTTTTAGACCTTGCGTGTTAACTATAAAGCTTACAAATTATCTTTAAAAGCTTCAATGTTATATTTAACTGTTAGGTTTTAAGTTTAACTGTTAGATGTTAAACTTGAGTGTTGAATGTTAATTTTGGCGTGATTTTAGGGAATAATCCACTTGATCAATGATGGCGACATTTAAGTGATGTTATAGCTGTTGTGACTTGCGGGGCATAGGAGAAGGCAACAAAGGGGGAGGAAGGTGTAGACAGAGGAGGAAGGAAAATGAAGGTGGATACAAAAGTAGAGGGATGAAGAATGTGAGAATGAGATGGATGAGAGACGTGGAGCGGGGAGGGAGAAAGAAAAGTGTAAGAGGAGAGACGAAAATCGAGAGGAGAGATGAGATGAGAAATAAAGTTGATATGAATAAGAAAGAAGGAAAAATGATGATGACCAAAGAAAAGAGGAAGGTGAAGATAGGAGGATGGAGATAGAGTGAAGAGGGAGGAGGGAGGAAGTATGATGAAGGAGAGAGCGAAAAGGAGAAGGAAACAGAGGAAAAATGTTGATACAGGGAGGAGGAGGAGGAGGAAGAAGATAAAAGTATTTTAGGGCTAAAAAAAGAAAAAGGGTGTGAAAGAAAGAAAAGTTAAAAAAAAGAGGTTTAAGCGTATTTGATTTCGGTCAACGGGGGTAAGTCACCATGATGATTGTTAAGAGTGTTGCTACGGAGACCCAAAATATGGGACCAATGGAGGGGACATGTGATGTATCCCCTCCCTATTGCATAATGAGTTGGTCCCCTCCCTATTGCATAATGAGTTGGCATGTCCCCCTCCCTATTGCATAATGAGTTGGCCATGCCAACTCATTATACAATAGAGAGGGGACACATCACCTGTTCTTTCCATTGGTCCCATATTTTGGGTTCTTAAATCATTTTCCTGATTGTTAATTTGTAACCTAAACGAGATTTATTATACTTATAATATCCCTTTTCTTCTTCCTTTTATTATTCTATCTATCTCTATAATATCCCTCTCTCATCAGAGCCCGAAGAAAATAACAGCGAAATCTCGTCCCTTTCTTAAAAAAAAAAAAAGGTCCCGGCCCCCAATCCCGATTCCAAAATTCTCAGAAATGCATAGATCCGATCCCTCCCCTCGAAACTCCCACCCAAACTAGGGTTTTGCGACGGCGAAGCGGAGGAAGGGATCATGTTCTACGGGGCTGCGGCCTGGGACCCGTGGCTGATCGCGTCTCAGATCGTCTGCCTCCAGTGCCTACATTACCTAACCCTCGGGGTCCTCATGTCCATCTTCGTCGGGACCCGCGTCTCCAGGATGAGCCTGATGTACTTCTTCGATTTCTCCACGGTCACCGTCTCGACGGCCACGGGGTGGTGCGCGATCGTCTCGTTCCTCCTCACCTCGGTCATTGGGTAACAAAAAAAAACCCAACATAATTTGTTTGCCTCCTTTGGAGTTTGTTATTTATTAAATCTTAGAAGTGGGTTTGGTTTTAATACCTATTTAAAAGGGGGGAAAAAACTATTGGAAACAATACCCATATGTGGCCGGCCATCTTCTTCAAGATAGATCAGCTCAAAAGTAGATTGAGTTAGGGGACATGGTATTCTAAGGTAAACTGGTGAATTTTGAAAGGATTGGGGTGAGGTAATGACGCCTCGCACCGGGGAAACTAAAAGGTCGGGTCTAATAGAAGGAATGTTGCGGATTGTTTCGAAGAAGATATGGAAGGTATATGGAAGGTATCGGTTTATCACTGCTGTGTCTTCGATTCCTGGGACCGGTGGCAGCTGTTTTAGTATGTAATAATGGGTAACGGTTGCCATGACTTTGCATTGTATGGCGTCTGAGTATTAGCATGCTCAGAAGTGACTAGATTAACCTGTTTGTTTTATTACAAGGAAATAGTTATTGGTGTGTGTATATTTGGGTTTGCCAATTGTTTGGATGCTGAGAACTATGAATTACATATATATCCTTAATGTTATAAATGTTTTTCCATTAAAGGCTTGTCATGTAGAGCATGGTTCAACAACATTGAGAAAGCAAAATTACAACGGCGACCGAATTTTTATTAGTTCTCAGCTTCAGAACAGACCTCGGCTACAAAGCACGAAAAGATCTAGAACAAAAAATTGGTACCCACCTGGCTTGTTGGTTGATCTATATGTTTTCCTTTTGACTAGGGTAACATCTATAGTTAAATGAGGATGTCTAGTTCACAATATGAAATCACATTTACTTTTTTGGGACAAAATAATCCAAATATGTGAATTTATTTTGGTTTATCTAATACTTGTTGGGGTGTTTTTGGGCTCAATGCTTTCTTATCTGGTGCCATCATTTTATTTCCAAGTTCAAGTAACATGCATGTGGAGGTTACCCATCTAATTCAATAGAACGAATTCAAACATATGCCACCATCTTTAATCCATGTGATATCAAATGAGTTAACATCTTGGATCAACTGAAGAGTGACTACCGGTATCTTCAGTTCATTACATGCTATATGCGCTGGTAAACCTTAAGATCACCACTTACAGTGCTTCTGCCTTTCTTGCCTGGTAGCATTAGTTTTTGCCCGCTAGGTCAACTAACATGCATGTTGATGTTTCGCCTTGATCAAATAGAATGAAGGGGAAGATATTCACCATAGATTATCCTCGTGATGCCAAATAAATTTACACGTTTGATCCACTTTTAGTATTTTAATTATTTGTGTTGTCAGTCTCGCAACCATTATCTAGATAAAGTGCAAACCGAACTCTATAGTTTATAATATTGATGAAGTAAATTATTACTGATACTTCTTAATGAATATGATAGAATGTCCCTAAAAAATCCTTCATTAAATGTTTGTTAATACCAAAATTGTGTCTGAATTTAGCCTAGTGTTTTATTGTTACTGCCATTGTTTTCAAATTCCCAACTCAAATCTTGAGTTTTACAATCCATTAGATGGCTAGCCATTATCCGCTTTATAGTTGGATTAAGTTCCTGAAAGTCAGCTTCAATCAGCAGTTATGTTGACAAGTTATTGCGATGGGATTGTCCAGCACTTCCAGTTCATTCTTGGATCCTAAGTTTCCGATGGTCAGTTTCAACTATTGCTACATGGCTAGGTCATTGTTCTAACAAGACTACTAAGCCTGTTTCGCTGTATCGCTTTTGGGACGTTTTAGCCCACTTTTCAAGACTTAAAAAAGTTCATAATATATGTATCATCATCTGATGTACCTTCTTTGTAACAGCGAGCAAGAGCATCATTACTTATTTGTTACCTTTTTATCATGCCATTTCTAAATTTCTAGGGTTAACTTTGGGAACACTTAGGAGGTGAAGTTAATTCACCTCCATTCACCTTGGTTCACCCCCTAATAGTATAAAAATTGTTACCCCCCAAATTGGGGTGTAACCAAGGGGAAGAGAATTCCCTTCCCTTCCCTTCCTTTCCCTTCCCTTCCCTTCACTCAGTTTCCCTTAACTTCCCTTCACCCCCTACGAATCCAAACAGACCCCTAGGTTAAACTTTTTAACTTTTGGCTCTTCTACCCTGTGTGAATTGGCTGAATTAACCTTGTGTGAAATTAGTTACTCTCTGAGGGCAGAAGAGTAAAAAAAAAAAATCCTGGGGCCTATCTGCCAAAATGAAACTACATGCTTAGTAAATTCAAAACAGCACTGCTACAAGGGATCTATGTCCAATTAACTGTACTTTTTATTTCTCCCTATTGTCTTTTGATTCTAATCGTTGTTTACTTTTTTTTGTTTCTTGGAATTAAATCCTCTAGTTTTTGTCATTTAAATTCATTGAAGTCTAAGCCCTATTTCGCTGCTTTGCTTCTGCTTTTGCTTTCCACGCAATTGGGCTCGGTGTTTGGTTTGATGGTGTTTTAGTTGGGTGCCCTAATGATACTGCCCATCAACACTTGAAGAGGTGCGCGGACCTAGGCAGCTTAAGTGCTAGGCACTTCAATTAAGCATCCGAAGCACCCGGCTAGGGGACTTTTGCGCATCTGGAGCATCTGGAGTTGCCTAATGTTGTTCTAAAGACTAGCATAAAGTAGCCTTCTATTTTTGACGTACTACATGGATGTATTAGCCTTTTGGTCTGATTAACAATACACAATCGCTCACATTTTCTGCGGTCTTGATCAGAATATTCTAGCTAACACTCCTTGCTGTGAACGAAAATTATAAGATGCTGGTTTGTTATGCCATTGCTTGATTTAGGGTCTTAATGATCAGCCAAGGTAATAATATGGCATGTATACAATATTACATAAAACTGAATGAATGATAGGATCCATAGTAAAGTAGCAAATTGACTTCCTGATATTAAATGCATTGATATTAAGTAACTGAAAATATCTTTTTTATATATCATGAGATCAGAAAAAAAAGAATGCTAATTATAAGTGACTGCCTTTAAACAACTGCATATGCTAGTTGTACATGATTACGCTATAATTGCATTGTGTTGATGGTGTCCAAAAATGTGAATTTAATAGGATGTGTACCAGAACCTGCCAAGTTCTTTGGGTTTAACTTGGGCAAAACTTTGGTCGATCCTTATATTTGTTACTAGTTCTTTCTTCTAACACTCCCAGTTTATTAGGCGGTTGACAGTTAAGATTGATATGGAGGTAACTTTGCTTCTAAATTTGTGGCAACATCTCCTTGTTTGTCATATTCATACGATCTGATGTCATATGCTCATGTGATTTGACGCAGAACTAGATTCGGCAAGGTTTTTTCTCATTACTATCGTACTTGTCTAGATGTTGCTGATTCCATTTTTTCTCATATACTAGGATCCTTTTCTAATCTTACTATCATATCGTTCACATGTGATGTGGGAACTTGCCAGTTTGTTCTTTTAATTTTATTCATTAAGTTGCACCTTTTTTAAAATTAATACTCTAGAAAGATTTTGTTTAAGAGAAGACACCCTCTTACTTTTCTTCTAATGCTTGAACAGGGCAGTTTACATGCTTTATTTGATTGAGAGAGCCAAGAAGTGCTTTGATTTTTCAGCTACCGTGTATATTGTCCATCTATTTTTGTGCATCATGTATGGAGGGTGGCCGTCTTCTTTTATATGGTGGATTGTAAACATTGCTTGCCTAGCTTTGATGGCTTTCCTTGGGGAATGGCTGTGCATCAACCATGAAATGCAAGAAATTCCTATTACACGGCTTCGTTCAAGTAAGGGATCTATATCTTCCTTGATATCAATAATTTATGCTGCGTTCATTTATGTGTCCTGAGTTTCGTTTCTAATAAATTACAATTTGTGAGAATCTTTCTTTCCTGATCCAGTAGACATGCTAAAACAGTGATTATGAATTGGTGGCTTCTTAAGGCTTAATCTAACAAAATTTATGTAAGGTACTATTCGTTAAAACATTCTCCGCATGGTTTTCAAAGATGGATTTAGACTGGACAGATCCTTAATATAAATTTATACTTAAGGGTCTTTTTTTGGAATTAATGAATGAAATTCATATGACTCATATGACTGTCTCCTTCAAACAAATTGGCATTTACAATGCAACTACCACAGTAGATTAGAGGACTAGAGGCCTGGGTTCTACTGAACATAACCAAATCATCATAAGATTAAGGGAAATCCTTCGGCGATCTTGCATGACTGCACAATGTGTACGTGGTTCATATGTGAGCGCATAAGAAATTAGAAAATGAAAAAAGTAATCAAATGGAAATCCTTCGGCGATCTTGCATGACTGCACAATGTGTACGTGGTTCATGTGTGAGCGCATGAGAAATTAGAAAATGAAAAAGTAATCAAATGGGCAGATGCTTAATTGTTCCCTTCAGAATGAGCGGGAGCACACCTTTGATTGCTGATAAACTTAGACCATATGCCAACACTCATACAATCATATGCAATGAATTACGCTTGCCAGAGTTTCAAATCTACTGAACATAAGGAACATTTCTTATCACAATCACTGCAACTGAACTGGAAATAGTGGTGATAAGAGTTACTGGCTGGTCTGATACATATCTTCTGAGAGCTTCTTTGTGCTGGGTAGGAAATCTTGTAACTGCTGAGTTTAGTGCAGTAATGAATTTCCAAATCTTCCTTCTGACTCCCTATTAACTTGATATGATTACTCCTCAGTATTGCAGTCATTAGGTCCCTAGGTCAAGCTCCTAGTATTTTTACGGTTACTCTTTGGAATGTCCATTGTCCTCAAGTTGCGTAACCCCCTAGCCTATTTCAGTGTTATGATCTTCTGGACTCTGGGCATAGTTATTTAATTTCCAAGGGATTCATGTGCACTTGGATTTTGAACTACATGGAGTTGGAAAATATCAAAAACATTTAGAACTCAGTGTAATGCAGAAATTAAATGTACCGGATCAGTAGCTATTAATTGGTAAATGTAGCCTATGGATAGAATAACACTGCCACAGACAAGTTATGCTCTCGTTTAGCATTTAACTTACAGTAACGGCCTGCTAATGTTTGCCTCTCCCTTCTTTCTCGCAGCTTATAATTGTAATAAATTAGTACGTGTTTGATTGTGAATCTGTTTTCTTTGCAGATGCTTGACTTCAGAAGCTGAAAGAACATAGAAACGATTTGCAAACCCTGCAGTGTTCGACATTCGCTTAATTTTCCTTTATGATAGTATGAATTTGATTCTTCTGACGGTCATGGAGAAGTTTGCAGGTGAAGAACAGATACCAAACTGTAAGGGGCTACTTGACCTTCTTTGAGGGGGTCATATATATCTTAATTTTTTTGGATTTACTCTCATGAAAATGTATACACAAACAAATTTATTGGTAGATGGTCGAGTCATTTCCTTGTATCTTGTATTTCACTAATGGGCAAGTTGCTAAGTTTCTGTTGCTTTCTTTATGAGATCTGGTTATGTATTAGTTTAATACAGGTCTCAATGGAGTTGATTTCGCAAAGACAAAAGTATTCTGAAATATTTGCTCTTAATGTAAGTAAGATCAACGCCGGAGAAGCTCTAGTCTTTAGCTCAAAGGAAAATATGAACAGTCTGCAATAAGACAGGGAGACGCTAGAAATATACTGGATTTGGTTTATATTGTAATTTATTTATCAAAATATTTAAATTATAGTACTCGTATAGATTATAATCCCAGACGGATTGTTAATTTGGCACATTGGAAATTAATTTAGACTGCTTCGCTTGTTCCTTTTTCTAAATTGATAAATTATTTCTTACGCCTAGGTAATAGTTTCTCTCTCGATGATCTAATAATATTTTGATATTATACCGATGCATATTGAAAGCAATACAGCTAGTTAGATAGTATTCTAGCACCAAAATATCCTACAAGCATTAGACAAAATAATCCGAGAGTCCACCACGTAGAATGTCATTAGAATTAATAAAGATGATTACCCAAAAAACCAAAAAACCAGAAACCCCAAAAAAAAAAAAAAACAAAAAAACAAAAAACAAAAAACCAAAATGGCCTATACATGAAAATGATAAGGAAAAATTATATCAAGGCCCCAAAAAACTAAACTAATGTGTGGAAGGCCTTTGTATGATTTCTAATGTGTAGCAACCCCTAATACTAGCAACTCGTGATTTAGCCTCTTTACACTAACCCAAAATTTCAACATAGACCATATTAGTAATTTATTTTCACAAAATGACCCCTTTGAGATTTAATTGTTATTTTCGATCCAGTTTCAGCCACCTGGCTAAAACTGGGTCGAAAATGACAAATAAAGTTCGATAACTTCAAGGGATTTAAAATATTAATTTCACGAAGTTTAGTGCATGATTAACCATGCTAATGAAGTTGCAGAAGTTCAAAAACTTCACAGGATTTAAAATCTCCTGTTAACCACACTAAACTTCACGGGATTTTAAATCCTGTAAAGTTTTCAAACTTTATTTACCAGATCGAAAATGATAGTCAAATTTTAAAAGGGCCTAGTTTTAAAAATAAATTTCTAATAGGGTCTTATTTAAAATTTTGTTCTTTATACTATGTCATGTCATCAGATAGAGGGGGTAAAAAACTCTCATTACCCCAACATCCCCTCCAAAAAATGACAAAATGACACCCCCACCTCCATAACCTCAGAGGTCAACCCCCCCACCGCCTCGGGCCCCAACCAAAAAAAAAGAAAAGAAAAAAAAACCCTTAATTTCTTGCCCCCCCGGCGGGGCCCCAACCAAAAAAAAAAGAAAAAAAAAACCTTAATTTCTTGGCTTAGGGTAATAATATTATCAAGAATGGCTGAAAACCCTAATTTGCCCCCTAAAATTGCTCCTTATCTGGGAATTATGACAGTAATGATGCCACAGAGGGGATGCCACGGAGGCCCTCTTTGGCATGGGAAAAGTGCGAGCCTTTTAGAGAATGGAGGAAGGGGGCATTCAAAAAGAAAATGTTCCCTGCTCAAGAATGGAAGTGAGTTCTCTTTAGCTGTATGAAATTTAATTTTAAAACTTGTTAATTTTTGTGTGAAATTCTGGTGGGAGGTTTTGTTTTGAAAAAATTAGGAGGAAAATTGGAAGAAAGGTACTAGTTTACTTGTTAGAGCTCTGTATTGAAATTTGTGTGGTAGTTTTGTGAAAAGAATTGTGATGGAAAACTAAGCAAGAAAATTTGGAGAAAGTAAGCAATTTATATATTGTTGGTTTTGTGATGTTAATCTGTAAATTTCTGTGATTTTAATTTGTGTGAAGTTGTCATCTATGAAGTATAGACTTGTTGTTTGGACTTAGCTCATTGTGAATTTACTATAGGCTATTCTTTGAAAAGTTAGAGAATTTGTACAATGTAGAATTAGTGTGAACTATGATGAATCATATGTGAATTTTAGCAAATAGACATTACATGTAATATTTATTGATAAGTGTAATCATAGGCTGCCAATTACGATTCAGAGATTATCAAGTCTAGGCCATAACTATTAAGTTTTAGCATTACATGTTAATAATTATCAACGGATGTTAACTTTTAGCCATACCTATTAAGTTTTATAATTGGATGGTTTAATATTGTTCGTTGGTTTTTAAGTTTCCATAACTATTAAATTTAAGGTTTGGGTGTTAATACTGTTCGTTGGTTGTTAAATTTAGAATTGAATAGTTGTTAAGACTAATTGTTTATTTTTCAAGAAAAAGGATAGCAGTTGCAGCTGAAATCGGGTCTACCGCAAGTTTTAGTGCCTATTATGATTTCATAAAATAGCATGAACCGTGGATGAAGCAGTGGGGCTGGGATGCCTATGAGGGCTGCAATTTTGAACATTATGTAATATTTGGCCCTCAAGCACTTGATCCACCAACACTAGAACTTGTGTTGATGCTAAAATAGGAAAAAAAGATTGTGAATGTTGACTTGGAGTTGGTTCATGAGCATATAGGATTCGCAATTGCTGGGGAGTTAATTTATTCAAATAGAGACCCGCATAACCGAATATAGAGGGAGTATTTTGTAGGAAAGAAAGAACTAATGAAGGAAAATAAGAAACCAGAAAATGGGCAAGGGAAGGAAGCAATACATAGCATGAGAAGGCATGTTGAAGAGTTATTGGAAACTCTTATTGAGTCAAACATAGAGAAGGATGTTCATGACTTTGTTCTACTGTAAATTTTAAATCGATATGCAATAATTTGGTGTCCTAATAAGGCATCCCAGGACTGTTGTTCCAATATGTGGATAGCACTGATAGAGTCAAGAGTATTGCATTGGGCAAAGTTATTTTTAGTAAGATAAAGAGAGGCATTCAAATTGCTTTGGAAGGAATAAGAAAAGAAAGAGTTACATATGTACGTGAATGCATTTCATTGATCCCTGTAAGTTGCATAATATGTTGTTTTTGTCAAAGTTTTGTAGAACATGTTAATTTTGTTTGTTCTTGTTATACATATTATTTTTATTTGTGATTATTAATTATGATTGCCATTTGATAGTTATGGTAGTATAAGATGACCGACACTAAAAAATTTGCCCTTCGTGTTAGATGGAAGCCTCCATTGATAAATTGGGTAATGAGGGGAAAGAAGGCTGGATCCATGAGAAAAGAGACGATTGCTTCAAATGTAGAGAAAGCTAGCATCGAATTACTGGAGAAACCTATTAGTGAAGTTGGCCCATGAAGTGCAAAAATACCCACTTAGAAAGCCCAATTTGAGGAAGGATGATAAATCTCGCCAGGGAAGAAAAGAAATTCTATAGTCATCGTAAGGAGTAAAACTGATGAGCAATTTGTGTCCCAGAAGGTTGTTCGGATAAGATGAATGAGAAGCAAGGAAAGGGTAGGGAGAAAAATAAGAGCTTTTCAATAGGCTATGTAAGATTTTAAATATTCTACTTAATTACTAAAGTCGTTAATGTTTTCAACAAACCTATTAACCTTGGTTATTAGCTGTTAACCTTTATAGTTGTTTGTTAACTTTGATCATTGCTTGTTAACCTTGAGCGATGCATGTTAACCTTCATCCTTGTTAATTTTAGAAAGTTAATTCTAAGTATTGTTATAGAACTGTTTTCTTTGATCCTTATTAATTTAACTGATAGGCTTTTTATTTCTTTTTCAGATTGTTAGTCAAAGGTGTTGTGCGCAGCGGAAATTTCGGTAGAGTTTCTGGTGCACAATAAGAGAGAGAGATCGCAATAAGAATTCACTGTCTCACCAAAGAAATAAGAATCTGAAGCGAATATCTCAACAAAGTAAGATATCAGCTCTTCCTCTCATCAGTTCTAGGACTGACCTGTCGAGGGAACCTAATAAACTATTACAATGGTCATAAACAACAAATCACACAAGTTTTACGTGGTTCGGCAATTGCCTATGTCCACGTGGCAAGGAGGGGGGTCTACTATTAGAGAAAGAGAATACAAATGAGTTTACAATCACACAAATTAAATCCTCACACAAATTCTCAGATCTCTCACAAATATCTCCCACAAAGGATGCTCAAAAGCCTCAAAAGGACAGCCGTCACCTCTGTAGTTTTCTTCCTCTGAAAACACCAAAGTCCGGTCCTCTACAAAACGCGTCCCCTGCACGAAGCTCTTGTACGCCGCCGCTGGATTTCTTTTCACGTAGGTATTTATAGCCTGGATGTGGCCCCCGCATTGAAAACGCGTGCGTGGAACAAAAAATGCGTTCGTGGGGTGTGTCAAAACGCATTCGTGAATAACATCCAGGGGTTTAAAGGATAACATCCAGCGGTTAAAGACCTCTTCATGTGGGCAACAAACGTGTTCACGTGGGTGGGCCCCCACGTGTTCACAAAAGGATATGTGATGCTTTTCAAAAGGAAGAGGAAATAGAGAAGTTATCCATTGATGAACAACTTTGTTTTTGGAGGAATTTTGCTAAGTTTAATTATAAATTGCTTAATGTGTGCAAGGGTAGTAGCATTTTTAATGGAAAGCTTATGCAAAAGAGATTTGTTGGCTTAACAAAAAAAGTTGAAGGCTATGAAGGGACCAGTGATATAATTGAACCTGAAGTAATAGAGGAGAATGTTAAAAAAACTCATGCTACAAAATGATAGGCATACCAAGGCAGCAACAAAGGAGAAGAAAAATCATGCAGATTCTTTTGCTTGGGGAGGATTTAATAATGATTTATGCATGATTATGGTGATGGAGCCAATATTGAAGGGGAAGATATGCATATTGAGGAGGAGAATGTAGCAAAAGAAAAGGAGAAGGTGAATAAGGAAGAAGAGAAGAAGAACAACATTGAGGTGAATGAAGAAAAAGAAAAGAAGAACAACATTGAGGAAGAAATACAAATGAGAAAGTAGTTGAACGAAAGGAGATGAAAACCTAGAGTAAGAGGTATAAGTGCCCACAAAGATGAGGACAAAGGCACCAAGTAAAAGGGTTAGGTTGAGATCAT